AATTTCTTTAACAACCACACGGATCCATGATAATAATGTGATCCGAAGGAGTTGGAGGAAAGAAGGATCATATTTGCTAATCGGAAAGTTCATCACAGATAGCGAGAGTGGTCCCGTTTGCCTAAATGTATTATGAAAGCCCGATGAAACGACATATTTTTGTTCTCTTATTTTTTTTTATCGAAAAAAAATTGAGTCTCGCGCATAATGTTCGGTCTTATCTCGCTTTCTCCGCATGAGAATAAACAATATCAATTCGTTTTGTCGAAGTAAGACTAGCAAAAAGTCTACAAAAAGTTTAAAATCCGCAAATTCATAGTCGGAGAACTGGGTCGCGCGCAATCATTAAGATACACGGATTTCGTTACGGATACCATGTTTATCCAGCTTCCATCGTCTATATTTTCTCGCGCTAAACTTTTTCGCTGGTACGATAACGAAATGAGAAAATGGAGAACACATTGACCGTTTCGCAATAATAGAGATTTATCTCGCGAATTATCTTGCTCCCGTCCTCCCTCCCGATAAAAGTGTCTCTAATTGCGAATCGCAGCGATAATATGATACAATATCGGTAAATCGTAATCGGGGAAATTGTGATCGCCGCATGACGAGACCACCCGCTATCCCAGGGTGATTTCGCTACTTCTCGTATCTATGTGACTACTGTGGGGACAACACGGGGGCTAATTTCAAGGGATTGTTTCATGGCTGGCTTCCACGTAGGTGGATTTCTGGGGTACCTGCGTCCACGCTCGCGGCTGTACTGGCCACCGTACTTGCTGCGATTCGCGGCGAGCTCCGTGATCTCTGGGATCCAGCTGGCGAACACCGCCTACACACCCACAATCATCCGTTGCCGTCAGAACAGACCCCTATCCTGAATTTTTTATATTTGTTTTTTTTGTTTTCTTTCTTTTTGTTCGTTCGAATTTCAGTTTAACCATGTAAGTTCGCTTATAGTCAAGTGATAGAGCATCACAAATCGCGAGACTGAAGATGACAGGTATGATCAATCAACTGAGACGCGATTAGAATCATAGTGCAATGCTTTTTCAAAGCTGATGTGTATTTTGTGTGATTAAATTGATGTGTGAGTTTTTCCAATAGTAATAGTGCAAATAGTTCTTAATACAAACTCGATTAAATATTTTTTAAATATTATCTTAATGATAAAAGTGTTTCTAAGATGTATTCTATATTTTCTTAATGTTAATTATCGAATTTGTTTTTGAAGAAAGTATACAATTATATCTTTATGAGTACGATAGTATTATTTTACACTTGAGATTGTAAAATGTTAAAACAATTGTGTATTCGAATCGAATACATTTTAAATTATAAAAATCATAAATTATAATCAACAAAGAAGTTTAAAAACGAAAAATATAGAAATATTTGAAAAGATACATTGTATTTTTACTTAGTTTCCAGTTGTTTCTAAATTGTCCAAAACGCTATTTATTTCTAGCAATTGTCAATTGACAAAGTACGTTTTGGATATTTTAAAACAATCTATAACTTTTCTTCGTTAAATAAATCAGATTAATTTAAAAAATTTACTCAAATAATATTAATAAAAAATTTTTATATAATCATGACCTTTATTAATTATCAGTTCTCTTCCCGAGAAATCTTTTTTAATAAAGTTATACCCATTTACGCAATTCTGTAGACAATTTTTCTATAATCGCTGCACAACAGTATTTTAAAAAAAACATGAAGATTTCTTGTTGTGATTATCTATAATAATCATTTCTCTTCAATCAATTTTTTAATATATTTATTAACAGATAAAATTGCTAACGATAAGATTGTCGATTTTAAAATGCGGAATATATTTACTTATCGCGTCAACAATGTGATAAACAACAATACAAGTGCACAATAATGTAATGAGATTATTCTAATTTGCACTATTCTCCCGTTTTTTGATCATTATGTATATTATAACTTATTCAAATTTTTCAACAAAAATAAATCGTAAAATGTTTGTTAAAATGCGATGATACATCTTTTACTTTGAGTCTTCAATTAATATTCAAAACTGATATCATTGAAGTGAAGAGAAAAAAATTTGAATTATTTATATTAGCTGAGCTCTAAATAATTTAAGCAAAAAATTAATAAACGCGAATAGCGAGTATATTGTGCCAATAGTAGCACGCTCATAACCATTACATCATATCAAATGATAAAATTGCATCAATTGCAATTGCAAATGATAAATATCAGTAAAGTGCGCGTTATTAGATTAGCAATGCGTATTATAAAGAAATCAAGTGTCTTGTTCCACGAAGAATAATAATTTATCTCTGTAATCTTGCGAAATGATGCGGGTTAAATCAATCGTTTCATGAAGCACAGTGCCGTTAGTTCCTTGTTCTATAAAAAAACATGCGTCATAATTCTAGAATTATGCCACGCTTAAGAAGTCAAATAGTGTTAGTTAACTTCAATCATTTTTCGCATCTCCTATTACAAGGAGAAAAAAAACAAGTGTTGTCATCTTGCATGAAGTATTAATAAAAATGAATTTAACAGCATGCAAACTATTATAGCATATAATGCCGGCAATTTCGAGCAATTAGCACCATTTTAAACATGGCATCACCTACTTTTGGAATGCCAAAGAATACGGCGTTAAAGACTAAAGGACTAATTTTCATCTAACTTCCTTATTTTGGGAAGAGTCGGGAAGATAAATAAAAATTAGGATTTCTAAAGTGTGGTTCGCGATTAGTTGCGTTTTGCAATGATTAAGTGTATATATGTTTACGTATCTTTCGAATAAAACAAATGGTCAAATCATGTAATACGATTTATGCATGATTTAAAGCAATAAAATTACATCTTCGATAATTTATGAATAATATATTATATTACCAAATCTGTTGCAATCATTTTACATGATTTGATTAATTAGGTATTTAATATAAGAGTTTTACTGAACATTTGGATTAATGTAGTGTAATATAATAAATAATAAGTAATTGTATTTCTGTATATGTTCTCATATATTGAAGGTAGCAGACTAAAATGGCAAACCATGTAACTTGTTAAGAAAATGTGCTTTTGGTATACAATAGTTAATGTAATAGCGAAGAAACTTGATGGAGATAGAAAAAAAACAATCGTTTATTAATTAAAATAATCAGATATAAAATATCTTAAAATTTTTTAACCTTAATTATTTTAAAGGTATGCAAAAATTTTGTCACTCTTAGAGATTAAATTCTAAAAATGCCATACGAATTCCATCAAACTATTTTCGCTCACATCACCGTGTAATCCATATTTATATAATATCATCTTATGTATTATTTACATTAATATTATATCAAATACGGATGTTTGTTATTTCGTGCTGTTGAAATAGAACGATAATTAATACATGATGAATAAAATTACTTCTGTCGATAGTACAAAATACATGCATACGACAAAACTTACTATGCATAGCTGCCTTTCTCATTTTGGACTTACATGTCGTTGTCCTTAGAATACATTTTTTTTGTTAACTTGACATCTCACGGTGAAAGGTCATTATCTTCAGAATTTCAGATCATCATCAATAAGAATTAATTACATGCACTTAAGTAATTCTAACAATTTGAACATTCAGAGATTCGTAAATTAAAACAAAAATTAATAACTCTCAAAAAATAATTAGAAACATAAATGAAAACTAAAATTGTACAATTATATCCTTCGCAATTATAATTGTCGAGAACATGTATATTATTTAAAATTATCAAAAAATAAAGCAAAAATTAACTCATTGAGATATACATCAATAAATATACGTGAATTGATTTCAAAATATATAAAACGGAAGATCAGATTCAAGGTAATGGCATTGATATTTGTTACCGGTTACGCGCGTACCGATTTAAGGCTCAGCTGTGCTTTATCGGCTTTAATTCGAGATGTCTACTTGGACTAATACCAAAAAATAAAATCTACTTTTGGTCGTCGCAGATGGCTCAACATTTACCTGGTCACGGATAACCGTGACCTCCATTCAACGTGACGATAATAATAAAATCGGTCGCGACTCTTACGGTGATCACACACATGCAGCTATAATCCTCTTCAAATATCCGAATTGATTTTGCAATTGCTATTTTTTCGATATAAGATTAATAATTTTATGATATTTATTTCAATTATTACAGATATTTAAGATAATTTCAAATTTGAAAAATATTCAATATTTTCAACATTTATAAAACAAGTAGCACAGTTTATTCCATCTTTGTATATTACGTAATATTAAATTCCTAATTTTTAATATCTACTATTTTAAAATCGTTTCACTTAAATATACGTTATGCTATCCGTTTGCTCTAATGAAAATAATAAAATATAAATAAAGAGAATGCATATTTGTAATTCGCAAATCATACATTTTAATTACGCTTTTCAGCACGCGCAAAAATACATTTCGATATCGTTACACGAGTAAATATGCAGCAGCCGAATATCGAGATTTTCGATTCCAAGCGTTTCTGTCTTTTTGGAATGAACACTGGTCGTCCGTGTCTATCGTGAAATTTTTTCCTCCTTGTTTTATTCGACCTTCCACCGTGGACGAGAGTCGTTTAATTTATTGGGAAACGAAAGGGATGCCAACGACGATTATATACCACGCGGTCGCGCGGTCGTTATACCCCCGTCAAGTCTATACTTCCAACTGCTGTAAATTTTCATGCATTCATCATGGGTTCTCGAGCTCTTGACGTTCTGCATTAATTTAGAACGATGATGGAACGGTGATGAACGTTACCGCGACGGCAAACGTGTATACAAGTGCACGCGTGCAATTTGCACATCATGTGCGTTTATGTGTGTATACGTGCGTGATTTTTGTGTATATTGTAAATTCATTAATTCTTACGAGTAAGTATAAGTATATACATAGACATACTGGAAGAGGAAAAGTAAAATTAATAGACAATAGACAGAGGGTTTGTAGGACATAAATTTAATAGTAATACCTCTTTCCATGCTCCCGCTTGTATTCGCCGCTGTACTTGGACCTACTGCCTACGAGCTCTATTATCTCGGGTATGCTACTAGCAAAAATTGCCTGCAAATAGAAATCATAACTGGAAAATACTATGCGACTACGGATCGTTGAGAAAGCAAACTGGGTCACCTATGTACGGTTGCATTTAACAGCAGTGCTTTCGCGCCATATTATGGCATAAGTTGGGTGCGTGTTTCGCGTCGGGAAATAACGTGGAAAAGAAAGGAGAAACACAGGCGAGAACAGGAGAAAAATGTGACTGACTGAGCAATAATCTACGTTCTACGTTTCGTGTTTAGAAATTGTGCTTGAAAAATATGTGCTTAAAAAGTGATATGAAAATTGCTTTTAAATATAAATATATCAATATCATAGAACGTGTCTTGGATCGATGCATAGAGAATAAAGCGTATAATGTAAAAAAAGAGTACTTTGCGCTGGCAATTATTAATAAAACTTTCATTTAATAACAACAAATTTATCGACCCATTTTTTTTACTGTACTTGTGAAATATTAAATAAAACAAGTCAAAATGTCTATAATTATACGGAAAAAATTGCGTACAAATATATATTTTTTGTTAATTCTAAAAAGAATCAATTTATGTTATAATGTATGCAATAATTAATTGATATGTTAAGAACACGGATATATTTATAAAAAAAATCTTATTTAATTTTTTATAGTATAATTTGATTTTATATTCTATTTATATTATTGATTTAAGTTTAATAAATTTATTAAAGAATAAGTAACATATATTTATTTTAATAGAAATATATCATATCTAATAATATATAATTTTTTTGCTGCATTTCTGTACGAGCAAAAATTCCATAGAATTCAAAATTTATTTTAAAAATTCAATAATTATATCGTGAATTATTTTCCATCATAATTTTATTGTGCCAAAGAGATTTTATTATTATTATATTATACATCGGTATACTTACATCACGAAGATTTTGATGCAACCGTGTATAGAATTATCCAATGTGTATGTTTCAAGTTTATATTTGTGGATGTATATACTTGTCTGCAGTATATTAATATTTAAATGTGTGAGCACATGAATAAAAACAGTATAGTAAGCAAGAAAAAAAATAAAAAGTACAAAAACAGCAGAAGTGTATTAAAAATAATTAAGATCAGTATTTCTAAATTTATAATAAAGACAAATTTTCTAATTTTTACATATTTATCGCTTAATAATAAAATCATATAATTAATATTCTTATTATTGTATTATGACTTGTTAGCTTATTGCATATTTTATTAGGTTGCGATAGGTTGTGGTTTGTTACTAAATTTAAACTCATTCTCTCTATATTTTCAAAAAATCTAATAAAATAAGGATAATATTTAATAAGAATAATATTTAATACTAAAATAAGAACAATATTTAATACTAATCTTGTAATCTTTCTGCTGTTATAGAATAAACATTACATAAGATATCAGATAATATAACTTATAACAATTAGAAATTAAAAAGCAGATATATAAAAAAGATGCAAGCGGTGAACGGAAGCAGAAAGGAAATTCAACAAATCGATCTTGCTTCATGCGCGTGTAAAATGAAGGAAGCGCTATTATGTAAATCGTCTATAATGCCGGATGCTATGAGAAAGATATGATCCATCACAAACGATCGATAAGGTCGTGCCGTATCACGTCACGCCACGTAATTTGCCATTAATATAGGCGCTGAAAGTGATTCGCGACTGGGCGTTTGTGTCACGAGCTTTATAGACAGGCAACTAAAGACACTGCGATCAACGAAATTATCGTAAGAGATAGAACAGCGAGAGAGAAGTGTGTCGACACTTTACGTTCGACATGATGTACGCTCTCAAGAAACAGCCAGGGATATATAGATATCCTTTAAAGTAGCATGGCGAAGCAGCGAATTGTACGACCGGCAATCACTTCGTTGTACGACAAGTACGCGACGAAGTGAGAACTCCCGTACCAGAGCTTCAAAGATACTAGTGATATCACGTATTCTGGAATTTAGTAAACAGTCTATTAATGTGCAATCCCATATAATAATTAACATCCGCGAATATAATTGTAAATGCATTATCTTATAATAATAAATTAATCTGGAAGAGGAAAATAATTATTATACTTGAAAATAAAAATTTAATTCAAACTTTCATGGGCCTTGTAAATAATAATTTATTTGCTGGGGTTTGTAACCGAATGGCTTATGGACATTAATAATAAAGGATATAACACAAACAGTGGTAATAAATTAACTTGATGACCCACAATTTACGAGCAAAATTCTGTATGAATGCACTTGAATACTTCGTTCATTTGATACATCATTCTAGTTGTTTAAAATTATATTGAACTGATTGTGAGCGTAAATTAGAATACGCATGTACCATTTGCAATTATTCTCTGTTATTATCTATCTATTATTGGAAATCAGGTTTATAAATTTTAAAATAAGGATATTCAATGTAATTAGTTCAAATAACTGTATCACTAATTGTTCTCAAAAGATACTTTTCACTCTGATAAATGCATTAACAATACGTATACATTATTTAAGTAGTTATAAAAAATATTATAATAATTTATTTTAAAACTGACATAAATCACGCGTATTATAACTGTAAAATATAGTTTTCTTTTCTTTGTAATCTTGAAAAAGCATAGTCTTTTCTTTCCATCTCTTTATGCAGTCGGAGACAATGCCAACTTCATTTTTATGTTACTTTTAGGTACTCGCGACCGGGACCGAACTCGCAATGAACCAGGAGTCTATCGATCTTTTAAGCTTGTCTGAGTTGGTTTAATTTACGGTCGCACGTCGTCTAATTTCGGATTTATTACCGCTCGTGTCTACGGAATATTATACTGAGTTCGGTTAAAAGGGTTCCTCGCCTGTCGCACATTATACAGAGACACGTGATATCATACTTTCAGATGAGTGCCAAAGCATTTTGAAAGTGTTCCAAAAGAACCTTCCCCTTTATATGTGTTACAAGGACGTGATTTTTCATTTCCAACCGACTTATCGACAGACCAACGATTCGGTTACAAACCTCTCGGTGCAATACACAAAACTATGGACAGGATATACCACATGTTCTCCAACGTACTCGATATATCTCTCGTAATAGATGTACAAATTTACGTTAACTTGTATATGTAAGATGCATAGAATGAAAAATATCAATGTAACATAAGTTAATGATTTATAAATACAAATGCAATAATGTTTAATGTTTTATTATAAATTAAAAATTTATAATAAAAAATAATCTTTATTATTAATTTAACTTTACATAATTTTTTTAAATAAAATATTTGTTAGATAAAAAACTATGTCTTACATTAAATTATTGGTTCGTTCAAATAATCAAAAATATCTGATGGGAAAATGATGTAATTTTTTTATTCTGTTTGTATTCTACAAAGACAACATGACTCAATTTTTTTATTACCGTTGGAATACTACCAATTTGAACGAGTCTTAAAGTTAATCGTGCGGATTCTCCATTTCGAGGACTGTTCTTTAACCAAGTTTACAACGCGCCATTTAAAATCGATAAAAAGACAAAGTGGCATCTCCTGTCCCGTAATACAATAAAACTATATTTCTTTGTGTAGCTTTCGTTCTTTATCGATTGCGAGAGCGAAAACGAAGTGAACGTTCCCGTAATAGCGAAACGGATGAACATTGCTTCGGTTAAATCTCGCGTTTATCTTTGATATCTCAAATGTTACCAATATTATAAGAATATTATAAGGTCGACAATTCGAAAAAATAAAGTTCAAGCGATCAGAATAATATTTTACGTCACAATATGAGCAGCGTATCAGCGTCGCAGAAAATACACATACAGACAGAATGTGAACAGTCAAAGATCAAGCGCGTACAAACATCAATATTTTATCGATATCATTGGCATCGTGCTCTTCGAGAGAGATACGATAAAGTTAATATAAAAATTTGTATAATAATAATAATAATAATAATAATAATAAGAACCTCGAATCTCTGTGGATAGAAAGTTGATCATGTTTTTCTGTGAATTATCTTATATTTTTTTCAAATTCAATCACTTTGAACTCATCTAATCAAATGTAATATTGCGACGTAAAAAAATAAAGAAGTAATCTCGCAAAGTTTTTTATTTTAAAGCTTTTTCAAAGCGTTATGCAAATAAAAATAATTATTTGATCGATTCTCTTAAATCTCAATTACAAAATAACTACGAGATTGGGATTATTCGATTTTAGATCAATTGTACAAATATTTATGAAAAAAAATATAAAAATAAGAATTGAGATTATATTTAAATACTCTGTAAAACTTTTCTGTTCTAATAAGAGCATTATTCGTGAGTTTTATCCGTGTACTTTAAGTTGTTTTTTTAATAAAAGAACGAAATTTGTGAAGTTTCATAGTTTCAAGTTTCGAGGCTCCTCGTGTGTATAATAAAAGTCCTTTCAATATTCTCTATGTCATGAAAAAAATAAGTTCGCAGTATATATCGCAGCGTTCGCATGACAAGCCGAATCGATCGTACCCGAATAATCGATTCGTCGCATTATACTACAAATGACTCTTAGATCGAAGAGAAAAGATAGACAGTGGCTGTAGCAAAACTCGTAGAACCAATTTAAGCCGTAAGATAGAGAGAAAGAGAGAGAAAGGAAGATAGAGACAGAGAAAGAGAGAAAGAGAAAGAAAGAGTAATATATGCTTTCAATAGCTACGATGTGTCGTACAAATACGCATAACCGCAATTACTTCTTTCATCATCTCACGTAATACCGAAATCAGGAGGCTCGAGCGCTCGCAATTATAGCAAATTAATTTAATGCGAAATATAGTTTGATATAAGCGAAATGTTGACTATGCTAAATGCCTCAGCTGCGTTTTATAACTTTAAAGCTATATTTATTTAATAAATTTTTGTAATAAAACTTGAAACTTTTGCGACAAAAACCAGATAATATCGAAAAAATTGTTTTAATAAAACGAATAATTTATTAGTAGTACTATTATAACTTTTGCAATCGTCGATTCCTAAAACGGATCGTGTTCACAAAATCATTCAATTACAATGCGCGGACAGAAAATGTCTTCAATAATTCTATGTGTACAAAACTCTATCATTTGAAAGATACTTGAAACAGTGCTTCTCTATGCATTCTGACAATTTATTTTATTAAGCTTTTTCTAAAGTTATAAAATATGAGCGAGATGGTATGAAAATTATATAAAATCGTCGAAATCCATTATAATTTTTATTACTGGGATTGTGCTTTCAATAATTCTATCAATGTCTTATTGACAATGCAGAATGTTTCAGAAAATTCTTTTTTAAGAAAATTTAATATTCGGAATTACAAATAAAATTATATTCAATATTGGAGATAAAAGATTTTTCTTTCGCGCTTTAAATTGCTTGTATGCAAGCTGTCAGAAGAGGAGATATTGATTAAATGTAATCTTCTTGTCGATAATAATTTATCCTGCAAAACTCTGCAACATTGTGAAATTTTGTGCATCTCTTTTTATTAAATTATAGATATTTATATTATTTACCTGTTTAAGATAATTGATGAGATTTTCAAAACTTTTCGTATAATTAACATAATTGTTTTATGTGATTTGTAGATAATTTTATTACAACAATCAGATATATCATGATGGTTTCGATAAATTTATGATATATAATAAGGATATTAAGGCAAAAGTAGCCATTATCTTTGTCTTTTTGTCTCTACTGTCATAAAATTTAGAATTAGTTGGTCCAAATTATCGCTAACTTCACTTAACAGAAATTTTTTTCTATATTTTCGATATGTGCATATATATATATATATATATATATATATACACACACAAATTACAGGAAGTGGGAAACATTTTAGATAAATTTTAAGTGATATTCGTAAAAAGGGAATGAAGTCGAGTTAAACTAGTCTCTTTATGTCGTCGTCATATCGCGATAAGGGCTTAATTCATGACAATTTTGTTTAATATACCATAAAGATTTTTCAATTCTTATAACATATTGATAAAATATATACTTAAATGACCATTAAACAAAATAAACAGCAAAATATATCATTATATGTCGTTTCCTTTACTATTTTTTTTACTAACTAAAATACTATTATCTATATATTTTACGCATTATACAATATATCACAATAACAAATTGTTTTATAAAAAATAAAAGAACTATTTTTTATATGGAACAATTTAAGCCCTTATGCACGAGTAATTTTGTATCAAAACTTCACATATGTCGAATGTACCGTACTTTCGGGATACTTATGTTCTCTTCAAATATTATTAATATTTTACGCTAATCATAAACTTCGGATAATAAACGTTAACTTGGGATAAACACGTTTCCCATAGATGTTTGAACGGCGATGCTCGCGTTTAGGAGAAAAAGATACGACGCCCATCTTCGAGAATACTTCTAGAGAGTGGGCTGTTATCCCTCGACCAAGTCGACCGTGTACGCAAGGTTCACATGAACGATCGATGCCGCGCACGTATGTACGCATGTACGCATAACAACTATGCATAAAAGGCATGCTCGCAGCAATGCGCGCATCGACGTTCAAACGAATCGATCGATTCAGTATAACGAGCGGCACCGTTTTCCGCCGTTGATTTCTGCCCCAAAAAGCCATTTTCGCGTGACATCAACGGAAGTGTTATTTCAATAGTACTACAACCGCGTTTTCCTTTGTCTCGAGTTGCGAAGCCAGAAAGTTCAAGAAGTGGGGTAAATTCACGATAAAAGCTCTAAATATGTCCATTCAGAAAACATACTTGTCGTTCAAGCTTTATCTCTTGGAAACATGAGTTAGTGAAGTTTCATTGCCGTTTACTGTTAAAATAAAGTTTACACGTAAATACCATCAGTGGATACTACTAACAATGTTTTTAAATTGTTTTCAAAAAATATCACTAATCCGAAAACATCACGATTGTATCGATTCAAAGCAAAGTAAATTCGAGTTTCAATCTGAAAAATTTCTTTTACAGTTCTTTTACAACTTTAATATCTTTCAATAGCGAACCTGAAATGTCACAAAATTGAAATTTGAATGAAAAAGTTTAAAATGCATTATAAAGAATTTTCTAATAAATTATATCTCCACCAAACTGTTCTCGCGATGCAGGAGGATCAACAGTCGGAGAACATCGTACACTCGAAATATTTATTGTCTCGCGGCTCGTGGGACACGTAAATCTGAGGCCGTCGCTCGTCTCGTCAATCGTTCTTCTCTGATATACGAGCCTTGGTAAAACTAGTAGCTCCAGTTTAACAAAACGAGCTGTGCGAAATGCCGAATAGCAAGCGGAATACGGCGGAATACTTTGAAATTTCTCGGGATAAGAAAGGAAGATATGCAAGATCACAGAAATTCGGCGGAAAGACAAGTCAAGTGGAAAAGCTCTTCGAGTGCATACGAGGAAATAAAGAAAAGCAGAAGAAAAAAGAATGAATACTTCAAACCGATATAAATTTTGTACATACGTTTTATAGATTTTCAGCTTTTCGAATTGTATATTTAATTTAAAGGAATCACTTCGATAAAGAAGAAAAGACGTTTTGTTTCACGCATTTCACAAAGCTCGTTTCGTTAAACTGGAGCTACTAAATTGTTTATTTATCGCAAACAGAGAGATCCATAGAAAAACACAATGAACGAAATTTTTACGAGAATAGAAATTTATTTATTTAGTTCACATATAATATATATTCTGTATATTTTTTTTTATAAATTATAACCGCCGTTACGTGACAGAGAATTTTATTATGCATACCCACAAAGTGGTATCATTTGTTTATATATAAGAATGCTTCTGCACTTATGGAGCAACCGAATCAAGATGGAAAAATTTTATTAATATCATTGATATTTATCAATGTAAAAAATGGAACGCGTTTTTAAGAATTGGAATTATTAAGGGACATATTATTCACGGTATAAAAGCCTCCAACATACGTAAACATTAGAGACTTGACTACGTTTGAGAAAAATACACAAAAATAACTTACCAAACCGACGAGTAGAAAAAATACTAGGAATGTGCGGCCAAGGACCGTCTGGCAGTAAACGTCGCCATATCCTACCGTGGACATCGTCACGATCAGAAAGTACACACAGGTCCAGTACGAAAGCTGTTGTGGGTTCGAGAAGTCGAAAGGGTCCCCTGAGTTTTCAAGCTGCGGGCATGATGTTATTAAGTTTAGGACCGTCTTCGCGCGGTGTCAAGAGTGAAATTGCGGTTTATATTGGTTAAATCATAACTATAAGCTTTTACTACTGCGCAATGGTATAAACGCGGAACGTCCGAATCTCTCGGATTTCTGCGTATGGGTCGTCTTGAGAAATGTAAAAGGAAGTCGTGAGATAAAATGTATCATTAAAATAAGATTATATTCGTCTTATTGTATAAAATATTCAAATTGTAAAAATCGTAAAAAAGATAAAACAGGAAATATAAAGATAATATTTAATCATTATAATGATACATTTATTAAAGAACCGTATATTTGATTTTTGTACTACCGTGTTATTACTAGCGTAGCCATTCATTATCTATAAAATAGAATTTTATTAAATATTCATATCCTTAAATTACTGTTTTTTTAACTTTTTTTAAATATTTTCAAATTTATTAAAAGATTATTCTTATTATATTTTGACAAAAATAAAAAATAGAAAGATTATATATATATTTAAAAGATTATTTTTGTTATTATTAATTAATATTTATTAAAAAATTCTAAATTTTTTCGTATTTCTTACGATGCTCTGTAATACAGGTATGGTCAAAAATTCCTTTTTACACATTATTTAAAACAGTATAGAGAAAATTAATTCAAAGAAATATTCATGTAATAAATTTTACAATGACGTGTATATTGGGTAAAATGTTTTATTTTATAATTAATATGAATGTAATTTAAATTCTGATAATTATATTTGTTATTCATATATGAATATTACATAAGCACCAAGACCTACTTTGACCAAAAATAGCATTCTTCTCTCTTTATGTTTAGATTTAAATTCTTTATTATTGGAAAAAAAGAAACTAAATATGTTACAATTGAATTGATAAGTACAAAAAGGAGACAAGTTACATTTATCAATTCTTTTAGTATTAATAAGAAATGATTTAATTTTAATTTTTTAATGAAAAAAGTGACAAAATTATTTTTGAGAAATAATTTACATATGACATTTAATAATATTTTTTATATTTCCTGGTTTGTGACATGCATACCTATTAAATGTAAAATTTTAATTTCAAATTTGGACACATTTTCTTTCTGCCCTCAACGTTGGTAAAAAAAAAAGTTAAAAATTATAATACGCCACTACAGATACTTTATCTTAAATTACGTTAAACAATAATTATCTTTTTATATTAATCAAAATAACATAATTTACAAAAAATATTTTAAAAACATTGCATACACATAATTCAAACTCTGACTATTAAAGTATCTCTTCTGATTATGCTCAATTGTTAGTAGTTCTCATTAAAAAAGCTTCTACGCTCTGGAATATAGTGTTCTATTTTTTTTAATCTCAAAAAGGGACAAATCCTGCACTAGTGCCCTTTTGCACTTATTACTCATTTTTAACATCTACTTTAAGCCCTCGGAAGCTTGGAACAAGTGCCCTATTTGCACTGAAAACCCTATCCACTTCAAGATCCGTTTTCATTTCAAAATCAGTGAAAAGAAAAATTTATCTTCGAATAAAATTGGACCCTTTTTCCCCATTCATCGATTGTAATAAATTACTTTTTAATAATAATAAAGCCTAAAAAAAAGATAAGACTCACCAAATGAATGATGCCAGCAGCAGTTAACCAGACCGAAATGAAGATGGAGACGAGTTGGGCAAGACGAATAGAGCTCGATGTCTTTAGAATGTTAAGGTACTGGAGGATATCAGGGACCGTCATCAGTCGTAGGGCTCGGAGGAACCTCAGTCCGATCCACGTCCGATCGAGATATATCGACACGAAGGACGGTGGTATCGTAAAGTAGTCCACGAACGAATACATCTCCAACATGAACCACAGCTTGTCACTGGCGGCGATAAACTGTGAGAATCAAGCACAAGAAATAGCATATTAAACAAACAAAATTTAAATTTAAAACAAAAACAGTCTACCGAATATATAATATTATAATATAATATATTATAATATTATATTTCGCGTAAAGAACTCTAGAAAGACTTTCGTAAGATACAAGTAAAAATCGTCTATGCCTTACAAAATGCATTGTTGTTAACTGAAAAGTTCATTGACAGAAGGAACGGATGATCTTACTTACGCGTATAAAAAAGTAGACCATAAAAAATATATTGAAAGCTAAGTCTATCTGCTGAGTAATGTTGTTGCTCCACTTCTGGCAACGCTCCACCACTTCGCTGTAACATAAAAGCACGAGATTGCGGATGTTAGGTCAGCATCTCTTATGAACTCGACGAAGGTCTCGGTCTTAAAAAAAGCAACGCTGAAAGGGCGACTAAAATAGCAGCGATTAAACTAGCGATTATCGCCGCGCTCTTAATTAAACCGCAAGAAAAAGCTATAAAGTGTTGTTATAATATTACCAATACTGCGCAAGAATAAAAACAATGTGCATGAATGTTTGTGATAAACTTAACAGCTACGCATTAACACCGCCATCGAAGTCTTGTTACTCACCTGGAGGCATCGATGAAGTATATTATAAGCGATGCTATACTGAGAATGAAAACTAACACCACCTGAAACAGACAAAAAATCACATCATGAGAGATCCTGTCTTTCATCCTATCAAACATTTTTATCTTAAAATACAAGTATCATTAAACGTATAAATAAAAATAAATGCTTTGTAATTTTTGTATTGTGTTTTTCTGAAAAAAATAACGTAATCGTATCTTTATTGTTTTAAATAATCTCTTCGAAAGATATGACGTGCCTTATTTCACGATTTTATTTATCAATTTTATGTCAAGATATTGCGATATTGCGATCGATATAGCAAAAGGTAATCAAAGTTGTGCCGGAATAACATTCACAAGGGCTCATAACTTGAATCAGTGTCTCATATATGTTGTCATCGCAATCTATTCTCATTAGATTATAGTATCGCTTTATTTCCGATATGTGCCAGCATCACGTATCGCAAAGTCTAACCGATAACTGTCAGCAAATGTGAAGTAACGTTTATGACAGGCGCCAAGATACTCCATACTCGACATCATGTCAAAGCATATTGGTAGTTACTAGAGAGTATTATTAAATCGCTATAATGTTAAATTTCCTATGTATAATGACTTTAAAGTTACGCAAGTTTACGCAAACAAACCCGCTAATGACCTGATAAAATCCCTCGTTAGAATATTAGCCTTGTTCATCAGTGACCATCGTCACTGATGACAAGCGTTTAATTAAATGGTTGCGCAGTAATTGATGTAGTCGATGATTTGGTAAAACCTATCTACTATTTATCCAGAAATATTTTTGTTAAATATGTCAAGTACTGTCATTTTGCATTTTATTTAATATATATAATTCATCATTCACAATATCGCGAATGATGAATTGTTACATTAAATAAAGTACAGAACGACAGTACTTGGCGCGTATATCGGAAAATAATATTGCATCGAGCAATCAAAATCCGGTATGACTAAATCCGGTTCTCGACGTATAAAAAACCGGTACGATTAAAATCACTACGATTATATACATCCGGCTCTCGACGCATGAAAAACATCATCCGAGGTCGGAAATTAATAAAAAAGAATTTTTATCTTTCTTTCGTTATTGTATAGCGGATGATAAAACGAGTCATGTAACTCGAATGAATCCCAAGCATCCAGCGTCTATTTATCGCACGCGAAGTATATTTAGGTATGCATTGCACAGACACAAAATTGCGAGCTGCGCAGCCACGCCTGTACATAATTATTGTAAACAATGGCTAAGGCCAGCTTAATGATCGTATGCATGTAAGCACGCGATGCGTGCGCTAAACACAAGATCGATGAGCGTTCATATACAGAATTGAATGCGCGAATCCATTAACACTCCGGCGATCCTTATTATCTCCGTTGAGAGGACCTAAAACGATAGCATTCGATATTTGATATGTGAACAATTTTGATAAATTATTGACAAATTAAATAATAAGATAAAGAATTGCAATACCTCGCGAAGGTTTCGTAAACGAATCAGTCAAATACAATATTGATTAATTTACCTATATACTTTGCAATATTATATTCTGGGAATTTCTCTAACATTACGCAAAAATTCGTTGATGTTCATAATTCACACTTAAATGGAAATAACGAATATTCATATGTTATATAAAACAATAAGACTTATGTATCTATTTTTTATAGCGATTATTATCGGTACATCATTTTATAGCAACATATTTCATCTTTCCTATAGCTGTAATAGATCTTCGCCTTTCTCGAAAAGATAAAACGTTTTTGTTATCAGAAATATAAAAGTTCTAAGGAAGATATAAAAAGATACAAAGAGGTAGTCAAAAGTGCATTTCAAATTTAATACCAAAATATAAACGGCGCCTCAGTTAAAATTATTTGCAAAAATTAATGTTAAATATGACAATTTCGCTGCACAATTTATTGAATTCTCTATATATCCTAGACAAAACGTAATATTTATAAAAAATTTATACAAATATTTTTACAAAATATTTATAAGTATTTATAAGATTTGTTTGAAATATTTTGTAAATATTTTTGTGATCTTAGATTGCACGGATCATAAATATTTATTGTAAATGTTATAGTAAATATTGCAGTAAAATATTTAATTTATATTTCAAATAAAGCTTTATATAAAAAAATGTACAAAATATTTATGAAACATTTCCAAAATAAATAGTAATAAATATTTATCATAAATATTCTGTGCTATCTCAGATGTGTAACTAATATGATAATAAAAAAGAAAGTCGTTTACGTTAAAAGTTAATAATTTATGTTATTTTTCTTATTCGTTACAGTATCAAACTGTTATGAGAAAAAGATATTAGTTTTTTATGAAATGTTCTCCTTGCACACTTTATTAGATCAACATATCTGGGGCAAAAGTTGTTCTTCAAAAGTTACTTTAAGATAGACGATCTTACAATGGCGTGTCAGAATTTAGCACGTGTAATTTCCCTATCAGTCTACTTTGCAATTACTTTATACCATCAATACGTAGCGCCCTTCTTGTGTGTGAATCCTCTTTTATAGATCTGTATAAAGAAAGAGGCATAAAGATACGTTTCGGTGTAAACTAATTACAAAGGGAAAAGAAAAAACACAAGAGAGAGAGAGAGAGAGAGAGAGAGAGAGAGAGAACAAAAAAAAGGATAAAAAGAGAGACAGAAAACAAAAAAGAGAAAGACAGACCTAACCAGCATACCTAACGCGATATTCTTGACGCTTCTCATAAGAGTGAAACTCTAAACATAGTCACCGTTCAAAAATAGACAGTAGGTGCGGCCCTCGACAGAATGTAGACAAGAAATGGGAGAGAAGTTACGAAAGAAGGGTCAACTGTAATACCGAGCAGACGGTACAAGAGCCAAAGAAAAGCGGCAGAAGAGAAAATAGGAAGAAGCGAAGCATCCGAGAGAAGAGACAACGACCCCGCGAGTCGATCTCGTGAGTGCGACGCATTTAAAATCTCAAGCTCCCCCAATGCATTCCTTTTGTTCAAATTATTTTTAACCGTCCCGTTTTCGCCGCTTTGCGAAAACCATGTGGGAAACAGGCTATGAGCTGAAGCTCGTGGTTTCCGTGTTAGCCGACAGACGAGCAGTAAAGTTCAGGGTTATCGCGCTGAAGACCGTAATAAGAAGCCTACTCTCGCCTCTCCCATTGTAAGCCAACGAACTTCCGCCTTGTCATCGATTTAAATTCTTATCAAACCTGTCGTGCTCCTAACGACCGTTACGGCAAATTGACTTGATAAACGGTCGCACCACGCGAAATTACTAGACGGTGGTTATTTCCTGAAGCGGCTCGTACCCGCCCTCGCCGTGAACTGAACAATTCCCTGGACGCTGCATTAATAACTCGTTTGATATTCTACGGGATAATGGCTGGAATCATTATTATGATAAGAATATTTCATGTCGATTTTTCTTTCCCTCCCTGAGAATAATTTTTGCAGGATTTCCGTATGCAGGACATCCTGCAAAAACAATCTTGCCAAAGTTTTTTTCTTTTTTTTACAAATAACAAAGTCCGTATCGAACAAAACGTTTTAAAACGCGCGTAACAAACGAAAAAACAAAAAAATTCTGACAACTTCCGCACCGCAAGAGTTCAAACAAATAACAAAACGTTTATTTCAATAGTTTTCTAGGGACAAGTTCCATAGTTCCTTAATTCTGATCGACATTGTTTGAATTACTCTTTTCTTTGTAAAACAATGAGAAGATCTTGAAATTAATTTTATATGTTTAATTAACTAGAAAGCAAGATCTTTATTAATAATTTCAACACATTCAAACAGCGCAAATTGGACTAATTTTTATTAGAATGTAAATTTCATTCATTTTCGGATTAACAGAATATAACTTGAAAGTTGAATTGTTATTAATCAAAATTGTAAAATCGTAATAAAAGATTATAATACCTTCAGTTTTTTTAAAAACATTCACATAATTATTCAAATGTATTTCATCCATGATGCTTCTGTTTACAATATAAATTACTTCATATTTTAATTTATATTTCATGTGCCACATGTAAATTATCAAGATATACCAGTAAAAAATTAAAAGACCGAAAGTTCCTAACGACCTTCTGTGAAATTTGTTAAGCAGAAATTGATTTCAAATTTATTATATTATAGACTTTGTGATTCAATACGTATATATATATATATCTCAGATGCTCCGTGCAGGGAAACCAAGCATGGATTTACGATCTCAAACTGATGATGAGCTCGTATAAACGAACACCGTATCGATCTTTCGGACACCGGATTTACGAGAAGCTTTTATTATGTTTGCGCTGAGAGAAAGACAGAAAATATCCCGCTAGGCAGATTATCCATAGATAAGCAATGGCGCTAAGAGTACTGGTATAAAAATAGAGATCGTCAAGGAAAATGAGAGAGAAATAGATATACAGGGAGGAGAGAGAGAGAGAGAGAAGCATCTCTCTGATATTACTGATAAGTAAGGCAAAAGACGTAGAAAAATTCAAGGCGATTGCAAACACGAAGTCGATGTGCCGCCAACCAGGTAGACGCACGTAAAATGCCGCAACTTGTCGGCCAGGAAGCTTCCGCGCAGGAGGCGCAAGTATATGGTACACGTATACACGTAGCATAAATAAATAAAAAGGCGTAGCTTATGTACCTTGCCGGCCGATCGATTTCGTCGGTTGGCTTCGTTCCAGATATTCCCTCGTTAGATTTTCAAACAATTTCACTACGCGTCGCACGAAACTATCCGCCTTCCGGCGGCGTGAAATTAAAAAAAAAAGCACGGTTATCCCCCATTAATAAGGAACAGCTATAGCTCTTCGTTAACCGAAAGAAAGAAGTTTGACCTGGTGAGTCAGGCTCTGGATTCGCGTGTAAAAATTATTACAAAAATCATCGTCCAGATCCACCACGGAAATTTGTTTTCGTACGTTAGTGTCTCTTCGCTTCGTTGTCCTCAAAATTGTTGATGTCATTCGGACTTATAAAATATTAGTCGCTGGTTTTTATATATTACTGTTATTTTTATCAT